AAGATCAGATATTACTGGGACCAGAGAATTGCAGATGAACCTTTAATATGCAGGGATTCACATTATTATCACTACCACCGACAACCCCTGTAACAGCAGCTATCCCTGGCGTTTGGTGTTTCTAACAATTTTTCTTCGCTAAACACAAACGGAGACACGAAAGCATAGGCTGCCACACATCCTGGCAGTTCGCGGATTGTAAAACGCACACTATATTTACTTTAAAAAAAAAGCAAATAGGCTTTATAAAAGACATCCCATGCAGGGCTGCAGGCTGATACCGCTCGAGTGCATAGCTCCGTACTATATACCATCTGTTGGACTGAAAAGAAGTCCCTGCGTTCTTAACTGCCGTCTACAAAACAGACGGCACACAACAACTGTTTAATTCAGCTTTCAACTACTGTCTGCCAATGTTACTCTCATGAAATGATTGAGATTAATAAAAAAACAAACAGGAATCTGGGCTGGTTGAGGGGGAATGCTAAATTGATTTGACTCTTGCCAATCGCTGCCGAAGTGCTGGCTTAAGAATCAGTCGGAGATACACTATCTGCCGGCTGACCGGCAGGTTTGTACCTCGATTTGGCCGTCCCCAAGGCTGGCCACATTCCTCCAGGGGGATCGGATTACGTTCTATACAGGGAGACGGGCCCGAAGCATTATGGGTGTTTTGGGTCTTACAACGCGGGTCTGGCACAGTCGAGCAGCCAGCGTGAGCAAGCGAGTGTGCAGAAGGAGGAAAGAAAAAAAGAAAACGCCGAAATGAATGGCAGACGGTGGCCTAGCGAGGAAAGCATTGTAGTCCTGGCTGAAAGCAGGGATGGCATAACCGCAGAGAAAACTAAATAGAGGCAAAAAAAGACAAGAAATACGTTGTTGGAGGGTAACTGGGATACATGACAGAGAGACAGGGAACAGTTGAGCCTGTGAAAAAAAGAAATAATAAAAATCTGCCTCCGTACAGTATTTCACATTTTTACAGGACAGTGCTGACTGTAAGTAACTGTCGGGCCCCGGTAGAGAAGCTGTCAAAGACGTTGTACTCTTCAGTCTTCTTGAGACTGTGTGTCATGGACTTGTGCTCACAGCAGTGACTGTGCTGCCAGTGAGCTTGTGTGTCACTCCTCAACCTCGGCAGTTTCTGTGGGGGCTGGGCCACTATTAATAAAGGCTTGCATGATATAGCGAAGCAACAAACGAACTGCCAAAAAAATAAAAAATAAAAAATTACAGCTAGCGAGTGCACGTGTATGCAGGACTGGGGTGTGACAACGGCATTAATTACCAACAATAGGCCCACTTCTCGGGGCTCAGGAGTCAACACTGAGTCAATATTAGCTTATTGAAACAACATGTCTCCCACAGTTTGATGACTCAGTATTTTTTATTTTTTTAGAAGCTTCACACAAACAAAAGGTAACATCAGTGGAATGGGGAGGCTCCCACTACTTCCTTTGAGTTTGACATTCTTCCGAGTCATCGCCCATCACACACACGTATGAAAAGAACACGGGCGTATGCATGAACATGCCCAACAATGGCAGCTAACGAGCGCGTCACAGTCTATACGGAGAAACAGGATCTCTCTGCGTGCGGGCAATAAAAGCAAAACGCTGCAGCTCGTAAGCGGCAGGGCCCACCTGACAGCGAAGAGATGCGAGCGGAGTCCACGAGGCCTCCCGCCGCCCTCTAATGGTCCGATAGGGAGCGGGATGCCATTAAAGCTCAAATGATTGGTCATTGTAATGCATGGCTCCCCCGGCGTGGTTTGGACAGGCACAAAATCAATCGGAGCCCTGGGACACACTAACCTCTCTGCAATCTGGCTAACAGAGGCCCGCTGTGGGCGTCAGTCTGACGAGATATCAGTTTGCACCATCACCGCGCTCCCCTTGGCCCCCGGAAAACTGCGGGGGCCAACGCCGAGTCGGCTTTACTTCCAGGGTGGGAGGGGGGGCAGTGACCGTCTGTCACCGGTCTTTGACGTTGCTGAGACACGGTCCGTCGAGGGCAAACCGATGTAAATTAAATCTAACTTTAACCAAGATCAATTTACTTAATTAATTACTAGCAGACTATTCCCAGAAGAAGATGAGTTGCTGAGGGGGGGCCAACCGCCAGTAATGAAATGTCACCCGGTGGTCAGTTTCTGAATTGACCCTGGGGCCTGATTCAACAGACAAAACATCAAAACAGCATGGTAACAAATATAGGTCCACCAGTCACGACTCTGGCTGGGGTCGGCCTCTGTAGACGGAGTGAGTCCTCTTCCCTCTCCTCTTCACATGGGCGGGAGTGACTGAGCGGCCTGCCATCATCAGAACTGGGCAAAACCTAACCCCTGGAAATGTCCCATTTTTTTAGACATTCAGGTTTTAGGCTCGATTCATGCAAAATTCAATTCATCATTTTGAAAATTTGGGGGGGAAATAAATACATAAATATGTAGATCAGAAGATTGTTAGTCAACATCCTGTCAGGCAGTCAACAAATGCCGACCTCACAATGCAACATCCTGTCAGGTCAATTATAGAACAAGCTGACATCCAATGAAAGATAACTTTTTTTCTTTGGTAGACTAAGACAAGCAGACACCAACCAAATTCACCACCACACGGACTAAAGGGGTTCATTCTCAGCCAGGTGGTCTATAATTAACGTGTGTGAATGAGTGTAAATAAACATTGGGGCCTGGACTCACCTCCAGCTGTATTTGTATAGCTGGAGTTTCTCTCTCGTCCACACACTGGGTGCTTTAGCTAGTTGGGCTAACAACACCTGAAAGAAGGGAAAAGTTACCCCCGAAGTTGTCTTTCCACAGATCAACAGTGAATGAACGGAGGAAAAACAACGTGGCACATAATGGCTTATTTACCCATCTGTAATTAGAGTTTTCCTCAATTAAGCTCATTTTTGTTCATTTGCTTAATGGAGCTAAGAAATAATAAAAAAGGGTCCATGCAGAACCTGAGAATAGCCTTTTTAGTCTAAATATCCTAAAAATACTGAATCACATTGTACAAATCAACCAGAAAAGTAAAAGTGTTTCTATTGCTCTCAATCTTACAGCCTCTGTTACTGGAGGCTTTAAGGAGTGTATCAATAATACTTGATTAAAAATATTGATTGGTCTGATAATTAAAAGGAACTGGATACACCCAACATGATCTCCTTGTCTGATAGAAATCGGCAAAAAGGATTCATTTCTCCAGCCGCAGTTGAAATGACGACGATGATGAAAAGTGGTAAATAAACCGGTGAGGAAGTGGGATCAACCCTCCGCTGCGTTCTTTGATGGAGCAGCAAACAGCCGGCAAACCGGTCCACATGACATCGACTATAAATCCCCACACGTACTTCACTCCGAAGGGTCTCCTGGTTTATAGTCAAAAGCCGCCGGTGCTGAAAAATGCCGTTGAAGATGTCAGACTGCATGTGAAAGCCAGAAATCACAGGGCAAATTGTCTGAATGCACTGCTCTGATGCCATGTTGGCTGATGCCGCTCTCTGTGCCTCTATGCTTCAGCGATCTGCCGAACCAAACCCCCCTCCTGCCGCCGAAATAAGGCTGCACTCGACTGCAGCCCTCCAACCTGAAATGAGAAAATTGGGCCCGACTGGTCGTCATTCCCAGGATGTGCTCCAATGGGCGCAATGTTTCGAAGAAGAAAATTCTGGAGTCCAGCGTCACGGCCCGTGTTTCAGGTGTGGAAACAGAAAAAAAAGGTCATCATAACAAACTCCCTCATAGCCGAGGTTTGACTTCACCTGTCCGGCCACAATGCCAGATAAAGTGTCCCAGGTTGTATATTGCGTTTCTTGCATGTCACCTCACGCACACGGCCATGTACTGAAAAAGGAAAGAAATCTGCATATTCATCAGTTCTTCATAGGAACAGGTTTTCATTTACATCAGCTTTAATTTATGTGTGCGTGTGTGTCAACAAGTCGCGATGCCTACGAGACATCAGGGAAGAGACAATCTCGCATTGACAGTTACCATGAGATACTGCACACCGCTTCCCATGTCATTCCCCGCAACGCATGCACCGAGCCCACACAAGAGCTAAGACATCCCGTCACCCACCCCCCCCACGACTCTTCTCTGCTAATCTTACATTTACAGGCAGGCCCGCAGACGGCTTTACTCATTTCACCCATATTTAAATACAAAACCGGTTGTCTGCCACAACACAGGAGCGTGTGTCTATGTTTGCATCTGTCACACGGCAGCATGCCAGGGCTTGTTGTTCCCGATCCAAGAAGACAAGTCTCCCATTTAGCATACAGGTACGGTCGGGTTTTTTTCACCACAAGGAACCTCCTCCTGGTAATGGAGAGAAGTACGGCGGGAGAAACGAGGCCTAAATACAGCGCGGGTGTTCAAACTGAAGAGGTTTGTCCTCAATAAAAAAAAAGAAGCACATACCTGCGTTTTATTCTGAGGTGCAAAATGGTTTCTCATTTAGCATGCTGTTTGAGGTGGCTGTGTATGTGTGTGTGCACGCATACCTGTGGGCTGGAGTTAAATAAATATTCAGGCGTTTTTTAAAATGTAAACAGACTGCAATTCTCTGCTAATGATACAACCAGGGGTGTAAGGATTCATTCATTACACGGATGCATTGATTCAATGCAGATGTAGCTGCAGCAATATGGTAACAGAACAAAATAATAACACGATGTGGCTTCAGCAACGATACCTTTACTCCTACCAACGCAGCGCCGAAATTGTTCAGAACTACCGACACTATATTTCACAAACGAGCACTGCAGACAAACAAGAGATCCTTAAAGTTAGGGATCCCTACAATTTACTGTTCCTGAATGGCACAGGAACGATAAAATACTGTAAACTTGCAAAGCTAGAACACTAAACCTATTTACTAACTGCTCCTTATCATTTCATAAGGCCTTTTTTTTTTTAAATACGGGATAATTAGTCGTTTGTTTACTTTATGTATACAGTTCAAAAGAAAGCAAGCCTGTAGATATTGATGTCTAAAAGTTTCAGCTTGAGTGTTTTAAAGTAAAAAGTCATCTCAAATCTTCAGTGTCTTTGTAACTGAAACACATAAAGAACAGTGTTGTTAAGTGTAATTATGCCGTCTTGTTCCGATTCACTGTGCAAAACAAAAATGACAGCCTCACTTGTTTTACTACACATTTGTTTTTGCTGATTTTGGCCAACAGTTACCAAATCTGACTGTAATTTACTAAATCAAATTATGCACACACACACACACACACACACACACACACACACACACACACACACACACACACACACACACACACACACACACACACACACACACACACACACACATACACACACACACACACACACACACACACACACACACACACACACACACACACACACAAATTCGCTCCTGAACCAAAATAAACATCCACAGAGTTGTTAATTTAATGAGTCTCTGTGAAGCTAATATGTCACAGCCCTTGACAAAGCATTTGCTCTCAATTCTTTTGCTAAACAGCATTTGGCAACAGTCCCATGACAGATGGGTTTTTTCTACATCTGAATCCTAAAAATCAACTAAAAGTGACCCATGCTGTGGCCCCGTGTGCATGCATGCATGTATGTATACATGAGTACACTCTACTCCCTCAAAATCCAACTGCTTTGGGACTTGAGGTGAGAAAGCTGATTGACTACTCCGGATTTGGCCCATCCTTCCCCGCGCTCACTGTACTGGGTGCCCAACATGTAGTTACATGTGTTGTAGACACTGTATTGATTGCTCTGTAACCAGCTCCAGGGAGGAGTCCAATGACACACGACTCCTGTCCCCGTTCCAAAAAATTGCTTTTGTTCGCCGCTGCAGCCGACAAAAGGGCCCGTGTGGCAGAAATGAAATGGGAAATGCTGAGTGTTTGTTTATACGGAGGCGGATTTGATTTTTTACCAAATACGATAGCGCAACATCATGATGCATGGCTCACGGACGCCAAATGTGTGTGCAAGCAATCGAGAGTGGACTAATTTGTTTGTTTGCTCCTCGGCGAAATGGCACTTTGGTGGTTGAAGAGGAGAATGTAGCGCATTGTGAGGCGAAATGTGATGAGCTGCAACAGGAAAAAGCTGCAGTAAAACTCTGTCCCTCTACATATGAGCTACAAAACTGCTGATTATAACTGCACTGGTTCAGATGTATCAACGGCGGGAGTTTAAAGGACAGCAGATCCCCGAACTGTACTCGTAGGCTTAGCAACAATCTAAAAAGGCCAAAGGTAGGTAAACGGTTTTTCTCCCCCTATTGCTTTATCGAGACCCAACATCCATTTGTCCACATGAATTAGCAAGAGCAGCGGCTTTAATGCATGGAGTCAGATTACAACCTCTGAGCAGAGCCGCCTTTATCCCCCTATATGGAGCGTAATCTGTCCAAATCCGCCGCTTTGCCGTGCCCTAAATCCACAACAGAGCCTAATTCCTCTTTCATCTAATGAGCGGTAAAGGTGCACTCACTCAAGTTCAGAATACCACGGACTGTGTGTCCGAGCGTCATGTCACAACAGAGGTAGTTCCAAGTCTCCCTTACTAAAATGCAATACACCAACATCATCTTTCACTTGACAGCAGACTATAGGCAAGCAGATACATGAGAGGTTTCGGTCGCTTGTTTGGTTATCTTCTTGTCACACACAGTTTCTGCTGTAGGAGACATTTCCAGGTCGAGCTGTTGGAGTGGACCGCTGTCAAAAGATGCTGAGGATGAGGTCCCAGGCACAGGCTTCTTCACATGCCAAGGAGACATGACAGCAAGCACAGAGGGGGCATCCCTGAAGACTATAAAACCGATTAAATTTTTCTTATTTACAAAAAGAGTTTCAAAACCAACCAGAGAGCAACAGCCTCGCACATCCACCCTAAATCTTTCGGGCCTTTTGTTCATGACAAGGTGGAAGCCCGGAGAGAAAACACCGAGAAAATCAGTTGAGGCCAGCAGCTGACAGCTGGACCAATCAGCAAACTATGTTGCACAAATAATAATAATTGTGATCATGATTTATTCTATTGACAGTTTGCTATTTCAGCTCCTGCTCTCGTGCAGCTGATCAAGCACTCCCTGCTCGCAGGCAAACTGTCCAATCACAGGCTCTAATTAACCACTCTGCTTCTTAAACACAGGAGCGGCTGCCAGCAGGATTACTTTCACCTGTATGTGCCGTGTGGAGGGCTAGATCCTTTGTATTAAGCTGCAATGCTATGGTAGTATAGTAATAATATTCAGAAGCAGTAGTAGTATTTTAAAGTGCTGCAACCATGATTATGTTTATTAACAATTCGTTTTTTCCCCTTTTTGAAATTACTGATGGTAATCAACCGTGTCATGTCGTGTCGTGTCGTGTCGGGGCGATTGTGGCTAAGTGGATAGCAGGGCCGTCTTTCGAACCCCGGCTCCACTTGTTGCATGTCGGTGTGTCCTTGAGTAAGACACTTAACCCCAAAAATTGCTCTCGTCACTGTGCGTCACTTAACCCCAAAAATTGCTCTCGTCACTGTGCGTCAAATGTGATAGACTCTGAATTGTAAGTCGCTTTGGATAAAAGCATCTGCTAAATACTGTAATGTAATCAAAATTGTTATGGATACATTTCCTGTCGATTTCTGCTCTTGTATGATGCTCTGGTAAAAACATTAAGAATTGGAAGATAAATTAAAAGGATTATCCTAACTATGTTTGCTGTAATCACACTAAACAAAAGAGGTTTGATCGGTGCCTCATTCACACTTTCTAGTGAGTCAAGAAATGCTGAGCAACCACCATGAGTGAATCAAATTCACAGAGGGAATCAATTCAATCCATTAGGGGAGAGGCAGCCTAATATATATATATATATATATATATATATATTTATTTATTTATTAGGGGAGAGGCAGCGATTAGTGTCTTTGAATCCGCACAATAAACGCTTACATTTTTTGAGCAGTCAGTCAAAAAAAAACAATGCAACCACCCTCAAGAATAGGAAAGCCAAAAGGAATAAAGGCAGCTTGATGTCTGCGGCACACAAATGTCGTTATTCACTCTGGATTCAAATTGACGGTCTTGCAGAAGAATAATTTATGCGACAAAAACAAAAAAAAAAGGATGTAGTTACTGATAATATACTGCGGACCTTTTGTACTGAAACTTTTACTTTTCAAATTACAGACTGGCACAGTATAATAAATAAATAATAATTTTAAAAAAGCCGCAGCAGTGATTATAAATCACTTAACTTTCCCACAGCAAACTTATTGCCATGCAAATAAAGCTAATGGCGAGGTTTATGAATGCTAATGAGGAAATATTACTGAGAATGGCGGCACCCAGAGGGGAAATCCAGACAAATGATGAATTAGTACCTCTGTATTACACTGTGTTTGTACCTGGTGAGAAAGAAAACCCAACGAAATGATGGCGCACACATGCCAGCTTATGAAAATGGAGCAGAACCGTATGCAGGTGTTCACATGTAAGGCAAGGATCAAGTATGTGGCATTACTTAATGTTCTGTTCTATAAATGACTCGGCTATCCAGCTGGGATCAGTGGCTGGCATTGCGCCGCTGTCACCACCGCCATTTCTCCAGCCCACGCATGTCTGAGCACGGGGGCCTCTCCTCAAAAGTCAAATGTCAGATGTTATCCATCCCCGCTCACAGAGAAGGACCCACCATCGGGGGCTCGGAGGCCCTGCTTCTGGGCTGGTGACGGAAAAACACCATTACTGAGCTTTGTTGTGCTTCGGAGCGCGGTGGTTGTAATGTTCGCACCGTGACGACCATATTACCAACGGTTTGTTTGTTTGATATCTAACCGAGGGTCGCTCGGGTGCAAACTTTCATTCGCTACTCAAATGCAGAGCATACTTTTGTTTCCACATTCAAAATCGAAGTTAATTGGCAGTAATTATTTATACATTCAAAAAAGAACTGTAGTCGCTGCAAATGCTGATGTAGATTTTTAAAAAGTTCAAAGAATAGTGCGTGATAATGGTTCATTTGAGTTGAAACGTAAAAGTGCCAACAGATTCCTTGGTTTCAGGTTCTCTCATGTGAATATTTAGTTTTCCTACTCTATGATATTAAACTAAGCATGTTCGATAGGGCTGGGCAATATGGAGAAAATCTAATATCACGATATTTTGGACCAGATATTGATATTGCGCCGATATTGTAGGGTTGACCATTGGTGCTTTCACAAAATATTTACACAGTGAGGTGTTTGATAATTAATCATGAGGAAAGTAGGTATAACGACTAAGTGGGTAAAGGCAAATAATAGCAGCAAGAACAGTCTGGTAAGTTCAGAAATTTAAATCATTAAACTGTAATGCAGCATTTAAAACAAGGAAAAAAAACATACCATATCGATATAATTCTATACTAACAACAAATATCAAACAACTGACTTAACTTAGAAGCAATGGCGCTCATTAAAACGTAACGGTGGAAAGATTGCTCATATAATTCAGGTTCTTCCGGTCTGGTACGAAAACACGACGCAAATGACGCAACTTCTCCTGCTTCAGTTGATTAAACTCTGATGAGTAATTACTATGCATGCGGCAGCGGCTCTCAGGAGCATTATGATAATGCCTTTTGGAGAACAGGTGGATGCAAAGCACTTATGATAAGTTGGACTGACACCTCGTAGCGGGGCAAACCAAGGCAGCTGAAAACAAATTACTTCACACCTATAGCCTGCAGTTATTTTGGAGAGCTGCTTTGTACACAGCCAGCGTCAGTGTTGTCATAATACTGATGCATTACCAAAACACCGACTTCTCCAAACTTGGATGAATAATGAGCGGAATTACTTTGCCGATCATCTGGTTGAAGAGTGAGCTCGAAGGAAAACGGGGCTCAATCGGTTAGATTCCGACAGCCCCTCCAAAAAAAAAAAAAAAAGACCAATCAATGTCTTTTAACCCGATTTAAGACCAAAGCAGACCTTCTGCCAAGCAGAGAAGGGAAAACACAGTGTTGAGACGTTGCAATATGTTGGCATCTCCTCGGCGAAAAGGAGCTTCAGATCTGCGTAACGCGACCAGGCCAAGTATCCCCACTGATCATGTTAAATCTCTTCAAAAAAAAGACCCGTACTTGTATCTATTTTTCATTAGCCTTCAAGTTGGTAGAGACTGGTAGGGGGGGATGATCTCTTGAAATATTCATCACAAAAAGCACCCAAGACATGCCGTGAGTTCCCTTTTAACGTCCAACCCCATTTTCTGAGCGGGAATGTATAGCCAAAAAACACCACGGGTTATCCCTGTACCGAAAAGACCTCGTCGCAGTCATCATTTCGTTGAACTTTTTTTCCCAAATGGCACAAAGCTCAGCCTAAAGGAAGCAATCAGTGGAACTATATTTGCTAAGGGAGCTCAGGCTCGTCTTTTAATATAGTCAATGACTCCAGTCATGGTCTTTTGAACACTGTAGCGTTGCCTTTCCATCCTTTCTCAACCAGAAAAATCTTTTAACGTTTAATGCTCACCGATGATCCGATCATTTCAAGCGGTTGAACCCTTGAAAAAAATAAAATAAACAATGACTTAACGAATCCCGACTGTGCCTTTGTGCACACGCCGGTTGTGATGTGCTGGAAGCTGGAGAGGATAATGGTTGCAACTAGTGCTGGAGCACAACCAGCACGGCCACAAATAAAAACACATTCTGTCATCTCGATGCTGAGGGGGAAAAAAGGGGCTTTTTGAGTTAGTCTTCCAATGAGAGAAATCTCACTTTCAACGACATTTAGGCGCTCATATTCACAGAAATTGGCTTCGATGCTGCAATTTTAATAAGTCAACAGAAGATGTCAACTGACATGAAACTGGGCAGGCTGCATTGCTCCGAGAGGCAGGTCGACTTGATAGTGATCTTTATTGCATTTTTATGGTAGACTGCAAAGGTGGAATGTCAGACCTGTAAAAATGCACAGAAGGCAGGGAAGCACCTCCCCATATGGCATGAACACTAAAAGGCACACACGATGGACACCCTCAAAAACACAGGCGACATCAAGTAGTATTATGCAATGGTGAAGAAGAAGAAAAATAGAGCCTTGGTGAAACTATGCTTGGTGCTGCATGCAAAATGAGGGAAAATCGCCCTCGGATAGAATGCACTGGTTGTGCAATATCTGCATGCATACTGTAAAGCTGTGCACTGTGTATATGAAGCGAATGGTCATGCATCTGGCACAGCTGCTGCTAATGAGAACAGTGCATGTACAGACAAATGTGACAACATTTCTGGAAGAATTCGCCACTCTGGTCTGCACACTGGAGTTGCCCTCACTTCCTAGTTTACTGCTGCTGTCATAGCTCGGCTAACACCCTTCTTCCTCCATAGCACAGCAAACAATTTTTGCTGCTGCTGCGACCGTGAATTCTTCCACCGCTGGTCAGAGAGCCAGAGCCGTGGGTATAGCGTCTCGTTTTCAGCGTGGCATGAACAAAATACACTTACATTTCACCACCCTGTCCGTCGTAGATAACTTCGGTTCATCATTCGGCTTGTTTTCGGACATTTCCATTGTGGTATAATATTGAGATACAGCAGAAATGAGACTGGGAGAAGAAGAAGAAAAATAAAAAGGTCCCTGCGTTACTCTTTTGCCGAACAACTGTCGAGTCTATCCGAGAAAAAGAGACCGCAGTGATCTCACTCGGTCCTATCAGCGGCCAAAAATACTTGCAACAGGGTTACAATTTCACTGCTGGTGCTGGAGGAGCTGCTCCGTCTGATTTACTGTTACTCTGTATCAAGTTGTATGAGCGCAGTGCGCAGTCTAAAGTGCTAACCCACAGGACCCGCCCCCGACTCACAGCGACTCCTTCTATTGGCGGAGAGCGGCAAGGCTGCAACTCTTCATGTCCATTCACTTTTATTAAGACTGTTTCTGTGTCAATCTGGTCTCTTATGAATAACTGGTATGCATAACTTATGATACACATTTGTGGCTGGGTGTGCACAATAAATACTTTGATGAACAGATACAAAAAAGAAATAGTGATCACTTCACAAAAGCAGATAATATATTAGATTTAGCACAACAAAGGATCTATCTATTAAACACGTATTTGGACCCGAGACATACATTCTCAGTACAGAAGCTTGTTTCCACCTGAAAGAGGAAAAAAAAGTAAAAAACAAAACAAATGGTAAAAACGTGTATGGTCTTTATTTTATTTCTTTATTTGTAAAGATAACATAGATTAATCAACATTTCTATAAATGTGCCAGTGTTAACCCACTGGCTAATTTTCAACTGCAGTTTTTTGAAGGTTGATAGTCTTAGTCAAGTTAATAAAGTATACAGACAACAGTATGAGATAGTAAGGCAAAAAGGTTTTGAGATAAACTGTCAAAATGATGAGATAGTGAGTAAAGTTGTATTTATTTTTATATTCATCTTTCTTTTCTTCTTTTACTGGCTGAATCGGGCTTCCGTAGGAAAAATGAATCTCATCTGCATAATTTTAATTTTGCCCCACTTTTTAGTCAACGACAATAACATTAGAAAGATATCTGGAACACTAAATGAAGGCCAGACTTCGATGGAGTTTGCTCTTTTCATATTCCCCGAGGATGAACCCCGATGGTTTCAGTGAAATGTTGATCTTTCTATTTTGGATGCTTGAATACTTTTCCTCCAGTGCCACCCTCAGGATAAGAGTTGCAGCTTCACGTCTTGTTTGTTTACAGTGATAATAACATGTCTCTTTGAGGTCACGGCTAACCTGACATTTACTTATTTGTCTTCATGTTTCCATACAAAAATAGCTGGCTTTAATGTCTGCTACAGTGGAAGTGTTCTGCTCAGTCAAATTCCCTACAGATCCCGTCTTTGTGGTTAGATCATGGTAGACATACAGAAAATGTGAGTGAGTTAGACGTGTGTGGATCTGCATGGAACAGAACGACCTTTCATTGGTGAGTCATCAGCTACACGGCACCGGTGATTTGCCTGAAGGAGACCTCAGCACTCACCTGCTCATTTTCTTAGCAGTTGTGGATTTCAGTTACCCCACCGCTGCCCAAAGGGAATAAATGGTGGCAAACTGCTATTAGTGAGACACTGGTGTGGTATGAGTCAGTTGTTTGGCAGGTGAAGGCAGTTAATGAAGCCCTGAGTTTAACATTTCTCTCAATGATGGACCGTGTGTGTGTGTGCATAGTAGGTCACAACATCCCACTGCCTTTTTATTTATGCTTGTAGTGGAGACATTCACACCAGATCATTAGTTTTAACAAGCGTCATGGCTCTAGTAGTCTGCTTTGCACCCGTGGCTCTGTAGACTTAATTAAATGCCGGTCAGGTCGGAGACTCAAGTTTTTCTCTTTCTGATTACCTGTTGTCTGCTTGGCAGCAACCTTTTCTGTTTATTATTTGCTGTTTTCTGCTCATAGTCGTGCTCTGCATGTCCTTGTAATGGCCTTTCATTGAATAGAAAGTTATGGCTCTCTTAACTTTGTGTGCTTTTGTTTTTTGTATTTCAGTTTAGACTACTTCCACTGTTGGTTTGTGTAGTTTTTATTCCATGACGATATATAAAGGAAAAAAAATCTTGACTTTTTACGACTACACATTTTGTGTACTGGGTTTGGTCGTGCTAGTACCAGTTACATGTTGACAGCAAAAAACAAACTTGGATGACAAGAATTTGAATGTCCAAACCACATAATCAATTTTTCCATCACATGGTGTCACGATCTTGGTTTTGATTTAGTTTGTTTCCAGTATTATTTTGAATTTTCTTTGTATGTTTTCTCTCCTTTGCAATCGTCTGGCCCGCCCGTGATTGAATCCTCCTGTGTCTAATCACCTAGACACCTCCCCAGTGTCTTTAAACCCTGTGTTCCCCTGTGTCTGTGTTGGTTCGTCTACTAGGGCTTCCTGGTACGTTCCCTGCTATGCTCCATGCTTTGTTCCCTGCAGTGTTCCTGCTAATATCGCTTGTGCACATGTCTGAATTACATGATCCTGTTTTGTGTTGTTTTGCCCGTTCTTGTTTGCGTTGGGTTTTTAGTTACACAATTTAGGACTCCCCTGCTATAAGTTTTGGACATTTTTCATTTATTAAAGTCACCATGAGTCATCCCTCTGTTCCCCCGGGTCTATCTGCATTTGGGTGCATCCCCTGTTGTCTTTTTGCCCCCATATGACACATGGATGACGTACATTTAATTCTACTGGTTAAATTATGTAATTACTTAGAATTGCTGCCATGGAGCTAGTGCTGTAGTAAATCAAATGGAGCAAATTCCAAAGAACAGTCTCTACTCTATGTTCACTGAAAAAAATGGTCTAATTTCTTTGTCCATGTTGGTGTAGCAGGAAACTCCCTCTTATCTGAGCTCTTCCTGACAATAGCAGTGCTGTTTTCCATGTCACTGTGAAGTTGAACCTGCAGACGAACGGACCTGTAGCCATGAGCCAGACAGGTGAGCAGTCCCATTGCGTTGATTATTTATTCACTCAATACATTTTTTACTGGGGTAACGAAAACCAGTCGTCGCTTTTAATATACGAGTCTTGCTGATTCATGATTGTTTGCAATGCTCGGAGCAACAATACTGGCACAAAATATCTCAAAACAATATTGAAGTGTTGGTTGTTTTTGTATATGACAATGACAATCAACGGCAAGATTTATGATCACTGTTAAGCCATTTCAATGCATCCTCTACAAACGTGTACGTTACATTTCAATATGCTAAACAGAGTAAATGCAAAGATATTTTTCCACTATGTGGGTCAGTTGCAGAAGTTTGGAGACTCTTTTACTATAGATATAGCTCACGCAGCCTAAATGTGTATATAAGGTAGGGGGGGATGTTTTATTCCATAGAATACTTAAACACTTTCTCTTGTAGCTGAGCAGCTGTTAATCATCTATGAGATGGAGGCAGAGCAATGGGCAACTTATCTGCATTCAGTCTTCACTGGTCAAATCTCAGAGGCTGGGATCTGCTGCTATGACATCGCTGCAGTGTCCAGTCAGCGGGAAGACTTCCTCAGGCTGGTCCAGTACACCTGCAAGCTCCTGGTCCTCTCCAAGGGAATGCTGGAGGGTCTGTGCCAGAAGCGGCGCTTCTTCCTGGCCCGTGTATTGCGTCCTGCAGCTCATGTGGTGGTGCTGCTGTGTGGGGTGGAGTGTCTGACCCCACTGCTGGAGCTGGTGCCCCTGAACGGCGACGAATGCCTGCAGATCTCCAGTGAACAAGATGCTCATGAGTACCTGACCATTGTGACTGATATTGTGGGAAAAGGTAGGGAATTTGCACCAAAAAGTTTTTTTTTTCTTTTCGTGAAACCTCAAATATCACTGACCACCTGTTGATAACATTTTGTCTTGAGCCCCATGTGAGAAGATTCTGGTTTAAGATATTATTTTAATATTAGCTGCACTACAGAAAGGAAGGCAAAAGTGCAAAATACATGCTCTTTCACAATATTCCAACTCTCAAGAATTCTGCAGAATTGATTAATAGTGAAATCAAAGCCCCTGGAAGTCCCCGACCTTATTTCAGAAGCCAGTGAGGTATGCATGCCCACCTCAGTTTCCTCACAAAAATGTCTTGTGCTTATAGTCAATATATTTCAACCTAAGAAGTGTCACTCCAATTCGGATGCTGCAGTTTTCAAAATAATTATTTTATCCACGGAAACTCTAATCAAAAAACTCTCATCATCTGATCATTTATAGTAATATGAATCAATGAATAGTGGCCAGAAATATCTTAATGCGCGACAGTTTTAAAACAGATTGCAATTTAGTCAAAGCGTGCATATCCCAGTCTGCAAACCCAGAACACAATCACCCTCTTCAGAATACCCTTCCTTCACATGGCCTCGCCGTTCCCCTGCCATAAATGCGAGGGGGAAAGAATGCTCATTATTTGTGAGACTGGCTGAGCAGCAGCTTGGAAACCTGTTTACTGACTTTTTTTTTTTCTTCCTGTGAATTGTGTGTGCTTAAAGATTGACATCCAATATTTTTTAAGGCACCAGCCACGGAGACGTCTTTTGTGACTCTGTGTGTATCTCTAGCATGTCCTCATCTGCCCCGTCAATTATCCTCTGCCTCCTTCCTTGTTTTTCCTAATTGCAATATTTGTATAAAATCATAAAGCAGAGAATTGGGGGTTGTATTTCGACAGGTGTGTGCGCATCATATGATGCAAATAATCTTTCCTCTTCGGCTACACTGACTACACTCTTTGTGAGCAATGCAAATTCAAGTGCACTCTGCATCACTTCATTGCACTGATACAGTGAAGGGCTCCAGGCCAGGATCCCACAAATGGTTATATTTAAGCCAGGAGTCCTTCCCTATTCATACAAGATGATGCTGTTTGTTTGTTAGCACATGCAACAGATATGTGGGTGTTTGACAAGTTCCAGTGTAAACTGGTGAATAAAGGGCACTTCATGACTGAAAAGCTAAATCAACAGTGTTGGAAATTAGGAGACCTTTCCTATTTCTATTTGCATGACTTAAAATGTCACTTTTCATCATATATACCAGAGTGTTTTCGATTTAGTGTAATTCAACCTAGTTCGATTGTAAATAACATGACAAATATTCTACACAGCCATGTTAGTGGCTCTGTTAATCACAAAGTACAATGGAGGCTGATGGGAATATCATTAGTTTTGCAGGTGTTTAGTTATAAACCATTGAAAGTTTGACTTGATAATGGGGCTAGATAGCTCAGTAATTGCCAAGTGATTACATTATAGTAGTTGTTGGGACAATTCACTCATTAACGATAACCTCACAGTGGTGCCAAAGGAAACGTCAGAGGATCACCAAAGTCGGTATAGGATTCATCCTCTGAGGATCATATATGTCAAATTTCATGGCGACGCATCTTTTAGTTGGCAAGATAGTTCAGTTTGGCCAACATTGCCATCCCTATAGCCACGTTACTTGCATGGCTAAAAACACTCCTGGCTGGCTTATGGTATCTGGAACACATTTAGTAGACATCACTGATGTTACAGTAAATGTCCCATCTTTTGTAGGTGTGTTAGCGGCGGCAAATGTCAACCCCTTGACGCGTCAACAATTAGGATCAGAGCAAAAGGCGGAACAAATGCAGTCAAGTGTCAAATCCAACATTGTGGTCGTTCCCTCCAGAGTTCCATGCAGGGTGAGACACTCAGCCAGTATTTTTTTTTTTCGTAAAGAGTCCTCAACATTTACTGCATTGCAGTTCACTGTGCTGTCTCTTTGGCAGAGCTCTACGGAAGTGTTCATTCTGCTGAAAAATGAGTCGGCTGGCAGCGACGCTGAGGTCGAGTTCACTGGTGAGAATCAGACGCTGAGGGTGAAGCCTGCGTGCTGGAATGAGCGGATCCTGTGTGTCAATGCACCAGGTGAACAAAAATAACAATGAGTTGTATGATTAAAATACTATACAATGAAATATTAAGTTAAGCCCAGCCCGTGTACAGTATCTGTATGTTTTCTATTGCAGATTTTCCAGCAGGAAATGTAAGCGTGACCGTGTATAGCAGCGGGGTGCCACTGAGCAAGGCACAGCTGCAGTACTACAGCAACATGGAGGAAATAACCTCCCTTCTGGCGAGGGCAGCAGACCCTGTTGATTTCATGTGTCAGGTAAAGTCATTAAAGGGCTGTTTCAAATGTGGGCATTTACCAGGCAGGCTAACAAACGCACGCTATTGAGTTGCACTATGGGAAATGTAGGATAGTGTTTTTCGAGTTTGACCCATGCCAGGGACAAAAAGTCAGGTCATCGGGTCTTTTGATTTTGATCTCTCTTCAGTGTGTTTGCCAGTCCCACGACTTCTTTATGGCAGTGCAGTACTAAATGGAGTAGCACTTTAATAGAAGGTAGTCGGGGTTTATTTTTTTTCTGTGTATGAAATCATAGTCTGGAGAACAGCCAACTGCAGTTGGCAACACGGCCAAACCTTTCAATGGTAATGCTGTAATGAAGATGAACATTAATATTTCTAAACTTTGTTTGTATGTTACTTTCTGTAAAAAGGAAGTAAACTTAATATTACACGACTCTGTTGTTTGTACAAGCAGTGGAGATACCTCAAACTTTAAACCTCCAACACTTGCAAATATATTCAAATACCTCCATCAATCATTGATTTAGGAAACGCATTGGAATGCTGTTCTATTCTCCCCGCCCACTTTAATAAAAGCAAATTTTCCAAGGCATTGTGAATGTTACTTAGCGACTCATCGTTATGCAACACAGTTACAGGAAATTAGTCAATCGTCACTGCCGATAATCGATCCCCTTCGAGTCGTTGGAAAGACGCAGAAAAACCGAAAATGAATTGAATCTGCATATTTCTGCTGATGTGTATGTGCGCCACTGTTTCCCCGTCTCCTCTCTGGAAATGAAGAGAGAGCAGGTTTCGGCCTTCCCGCTGCCATGAGCACTTGATTCGATTAGGTCTGTTTTGCTGAAGAGGCAAACTTGAGCATTGCCAAAAGAAGAATTTGCCAAGAGTATTTCAAACAAAACATCTGGACCGACACAAATGGACTCTGATGCATTTGGTTATGTTCAACTTGGCATCTTTATTGTGCCTCTATAGACTATATCCATTGTTTTAAATGCTGCTTTTGTTGGACTTTTAGTTGCTAATTTGCTTGTGCTGACTTGCCTTGCCTCAAATTATTTCAAGATGTGTCCAGCTTGTGAACTGTCCGTCTCTCTGGATTCCAGGCTCTTCAGGAATCCTCTGTGGAGAAGCTGGACCAGAAGTTGTCCTCCATGTTGTTGGTGGGCATGCCCGGCGGAGGATTTCAGGGACTGCATTGTGAAAACACACCTGGAAGAGGTACAGCACTGTGGGATTGCTTACTCTACACTTTACATTGAATAACATCTGCTGCTCAATATCTCTTAGGAATTATCACAAATGATTTGTTCTCTATGTATTCTGTATAATATTTAAATGCAGTGTTACAAGATATACCCCCAAAACCCAGTAGTATACAGTTCATAATTGTGTCTAACACTTTTCACATGCAGATTTATAAATATGTATCATGTCATGTTGAACCAAGAGATGATCAACTGATGTGCCCCATAGAAGACATTCGCAGCATTTATGCAAAATGCTGTACCACATCACAATGTCAATTGGATTCACTCCCTTCCCTCCGAGCATGTGTTTATGCAACAATGCGGGCTAAACATAAGTGTCACTGTTAGAATGCGTCGTTCCCGTTGCAAGATGCACATTATCCACCATGAAAAGCAAGCCTTCCATTATTTCTTGGCTCATTATGTGGCAGTTTGATGGCTTCATCAGCCACTAAGATTGATCCTAACTCTGCTAAAAAGAACCAAAAAAAAAAAAGAAAAAGAAAAAAGAGGCACAGGGAAATGTTCCCCATGACAAATAAGTGCCTCTGAGCTGTCTTCCTTCGACTCTCCCGATTGTGTTAGATTGCACGTATCGGGTCAAGTTACGGAAGGAAGTGGTGAGTGGGGATTTTCTTTTTATTATTATAATCAGAGCTCCACCATGCAGATGCACCATCGCTCCTCCACTTCGCTGCCCGGTATGGATTCAAGAGCGTCTCCAGCCTGCTCCTGCTGTGTCCAGGTGCTGAGCGAGCGATGCACACAGCCAACCACCATGGACAGACGCCCAGTGAGATCGCCAAGAGTCACGGCCATACAGAGCTTCACGTCTTATTGAAGGAAACACTGGTAACTATTTCTATAATAACTATTCACAGCTCTCAAATAGGGTTTCATTCATTTTTATGGTCCGGATAATTTTCACCTCTGCTCCAGTTACACGTCCTTGCAACATGCCAGTGATTATTATATTGGCTTTATTGACCCTGTATACAATAAACCCATTTCTCAAAATGCCAATATCCGATGACTGCTTCACATGTTCAGTGCTCGGTGAGCTAATTACATCCACCCGATGACATTATTTATCATCTAGCTGGCTGGATGTAATGTCACCTAAAGTATTGGAATTGCAATTCTATGGTTTTCAGTTACCTGCTGACAGCTGAGCAAAACAACACATGCACCTGATCTGAAAGCGAGGGCCCAGGAACACTCTTACTAACACAAACACAGCGTTAGGGCTATGAGCGAGTGGTTATCAATAATAAACAGAATGGAGAGGATAGAAAGGCAGAAAGCAGGGAGAGTGCGACCTCACTCCCTCCTATCTAGTGTCTATACATCCAGCTCATGGCACAGTTGGTGGATTGATGGTCACCCCCCCCCCCTCCCCCTCCTCCATATCATCCTGAATTTGTTTGGCCTGTGAGGTTCCTAATGGAACGCCCCCACAGATAATCGAAAGGCTGCGTTTGTTCATGCATGCACAATGGCTCAGAGCGCAGGTCGTCTGCATACATTCAGACAATTAATGCAGCCGCTAACTATTTTCTTGCGTAATGGCTGTCATTTCCCCGCGTTAATATGAAGAGCCTATTCCTTTTCAACCTCCCATTTCATTGTGTGGGAAACATAAAAGCAGCAATCCAAATTTAATAGATCCTTTGCATGCATGCACATCCTTTTATTTGATAATTCTGAAGGACACTAGGATCATCATGTTTTTTTGTTGTTTTTTCCCCAATGCTAATTTAATTAGGCAGTGAGGACATTATCATTAAAAGAAAGACATGATGTGCCCAGTGGTGTAACATTAGCAAAGACGGCAGGCTGAAAACACCAGATCATTTCTGGTGTGTCCTGCAAATACTCCACTTGACGCAAGAAGCAAATTAACATTTTCACATAAACATGATTCACTTTAACAGAAAAAATAAAGAACACTTACAGTTCCTGGCTGTATGTTTTTGAATAGAGTAAAAACAGCTAGCCTGGAACTGTCTGAAGGTAAACACAGACACAATCCATCAAGCATCACCACTAATGCTCACTATTAAACTTAACATGTTTATATCTCATTTGTTTAATCCATACAAAAACTGAAATATAAATGACTAGAGGTTGAGGTGTTGTCAGATGTGCCCGACTATTTCTTCTCCATGCAGGCGTAGTAACTTCCTTGAGTCTCATCATCATGAGACACCAAGCAATTCAATTTATTTTTGTATAGCCCAAAATTAACCTCAGGGCTTTACAATCTGTACACATGAGACATCCTCTGTCCCGGGACCTCTCATATCGGAACAGGAAGATTGTTCTGTACATACAATCGTATTCCTCCAACTATACTGTACCTGTCGTCATAAAAAAGGTAGTGAATTTGAAATACTACACTTCAAATATTTCAAGTACAAGTAACTCGAAAATTGCACAACTTGAAACAAAATACTTGCGTCAAAAAGCTTGTATCAGCAGTTGAATCAGCTACTTGTCAATCGGTAACAGGCATCATGCTCATTCATTCATATGAAAATCTCTGCTACAGTCCTCCCTAATAACACTGACAACTTTTAACATTCTCTGATGTCTAGAATCAACGTAGAGTATCGCCCCTCGAGGGAAATTTAGACACTCCAACAGCTGTTGCAAATGTATTTATCCCCCTAGCAACGCTGCTAATTGAGAGTGACTGCAGATGGTGCGAGGTTTGATCAGATTGCTCTAGTGAGTCAAAGTGCTCGCTGCGAGTCGGCTGAGCTGACAGGGGAGAGTCAAACAGAGGTCTCCCCATGGGACTTCAACAAGCCTATAGATGCAACATAACAGATAGATTAGACATGCACAAGCAACTGAGATTTGTGGTCTCCTTGGAGGGTAATTAAAATGTATCTCAACAGCAAACTAACATGCATACTGTGATTGTGTGGCGTGTCAGAGGAAGTATAAGAGGACGTATGTGTTGTGGTGTTTTGTTCTTGCTCGGCAGTTTCATTAACTCATCGGCAGTGTTTCCCCCACCTTCAATTAATCAAGCCACGCTGCATCAGTGATTTGGGCATCGGTGTAGCAGAACTCTGTCAAAGCCAGAGATGGATCGGTCCCCCTGCTTCATACACAGGCTGAATCACTCACAGGCCCTGCATCAGATCCACGAGTCTGCCCTGGCACCACACTTCTTTGTTAATTAGCTGTGAACCGCTCCAGAGGGGAAAGCTGAATTATTCAGGGGGAGCATAACTAGAATATAAATAAAGAAAATGTTACTATCCGTGATGTTTATGTCCACAGACTGCAATGTGCCCGCTCGTCGTAATTACGAACACAAACACACATTGTCCTTATTTAATATTTTAGTACTGGGTCACTTGGCATTTAGATGGACTCTGCGCTCCTAGATTCCACTGTGTGCTCTCACACAGAGCAGAGCAGAGCAGGGCTCGATAAATAGCTTGCAACTGTATAGTTGCAAGCCTCAGAAGAACTGTTTACAGGCTGCGTGCCATATCTCTCTACTCAAATGCAGCATAGACAAATTAGGGATTTGTTGATTCCACCGAACCCATTTTGCATGCTACGTTTGTTCGGTGTTACAAGCAAAACCTCGCAGATTTGTTTGTCATTTGAATCATACAGTCATCCCTTTTTCTAAAAAAAAGAAACAGTTTTCATCCATCAAGCTATATGTTGGACGTGTATCGCAGGACTGGGCTTCAGGAAAAATAAACATTTATCCAATCACTTTGAGTCTTCAGCTATGCTAGCAGAGTTGCTTCATGAATGGCACCATCGGTCCACTAAAATATCTGGTCAATGGATTGTTTCAAAAATATTATAGACATTCATGGTTCCTAGATGATGAATCCTGAGTTTGGGGATCCCCTGACTTTTCCTTTAGTGCAACCATTAGGGTTGACATTCAATTTGTGGTTCAGCTGTGCTTTGAGTTCAGTGCTAATTAGCAAATATTAGCATGCTAAATAATAAGTCGGGCATGGGTAACACCATACCTGCTAAACACCAGCATGTTAGCATTACCATTGTGAGCATATTGACATTTGGCTCAAAGCTGTGTATAAGTACAGCCTCAAGGAGCTGCTAGCATGGCTGTAGTCTTGTTATAATGGCCGACTAGGATACATGGTTTAAAAGAAAACTAGAAATATAACACTGTACAAAGTAAACCAAGTTTGAAGTGTTCCTTTGCCTGCTGAGCTGACCACTTCTTATTTTCCCTTAGCCAAAAAATAAGTTGTGCAGATTTTGTCTGCACGTCACTGAAGTGATGGGTTAAGTGTTACGCTCTACAATCTGCCACAAACCCAACATTCTTATCCTGAAACAACCATGTCAAAAGACAGCCAGCACGCTGGCACCGAGAGCCGAGACGAGCCAGCTTGCGAATTGACCATTTCAGCTGCTGAAAACCTGATTTGCGCTCCTTATCTTACTCTAGATTCACTTGAGATTTGCTCTCCCTCTAACAAAACCATGCCTGCTGTTTTGTCTGAAGCACTGCTGCTTGGGTTGCGGCGGTGAAAGTGAATTTGTCTGGAATGCCCCGGGGGGCTCCTGCGGTTTCAGACATCTGTAAAATGATTCAGCATTCGTGGTTAGTAAATAAATTCCTCTCCCCTGTCCAGAAATTACCTCTGAAAATACCACATTGTGCTCACACAGCATCCAACTATTAGAATTCAATGTTCACGCTGCGGTGGTAATTAACCCGTCCCTTCTACCTGTTGGGGTCGATATGAACCTCCACTGTTAAGTAATGTATTCATGGCAACCAATCAGTGATTTGCAGTAGTAGGAATGGTGTAATATTGTAATTGAGTGAGCTGTGTCTCATATGTTCTTCTTTATATTACTGACTGAGATTGTTATTGAACTAAGAATATATCATATAAGTTTACGTGTATATATGTATTATGCAGCTCTGCAGCTGCTTTAGGGACATCAGTCTCATTTTCAGGACCTTGTATTTTGTTAACATACTTTAATTAATGTTCAAAAAAACATTTTTCTCATGCAGTCACCTGCATATACCGGTATATTCTAATGAGACATATACATATACACACATATACATATACACACATATACATATACACACATATATATACATACATCCACATATATACACATACATACACATATATATACATACATACACATATATATA